TCTTCTGTGACGAGAGAGAAAGATTACAGCTAACTGTGAGTAATTTTCAGCCTCTGCACACAATTTACACACACACAAATAATTGCTATCCAGCTCACGGTGTCCCTGATCTCTGCCCAACATTGTCCAGTGTGAACCATACCAAGGGGTCCTGATCACCACCACACCAGGGGGTCCTGATCACCACCACACCAGGGGGTCCTGATCACCACCACAGCAGGGGGTCCTGATCACCACCACACCAGGGGCTCCTGGTCATCACCATACCAGGGGGTCCTGATCACCACCACATTAGTGTCAACGCCATGTAAAAAAATCCTACACCAGCGAGGAGGTGTTCCAAATTCTGAGCATGATGGATGAGAGTAGCGGGGAACTCTCACTGTCAGACTCACATTCAGAATATGAACCTGCAGACGGCAGCAGTTCAGAATCTGATTGAGAAGAAGAAGAGCTTCCAACTACAAGAATGAGGTATTCCAAGGAGCATCAGGCAACAACCAGCAGCTCAATACCTCCCAGTGACATGGCTAGCACTAGTAGTGCAGTTCATCCACCACATCCACGTCAGCCACCAAGGATGAAGGTCCAAATTGAGAATGCTGGCTCCACTTTCACACCTGAGGACTCTATCCAGGAAATGAAAATCCCCCCATAGATAAATAGGGCACTAGGTGGATGTCCCGACACATACACTCTCCGAGCCTCTGACAAAACACCTCTTTTTATTGGCAATCACACTCTGAAAGAATAAACAACATAATGCATATGTAACGGAACCGGACCCCAGACCACACTTGGGTATATTCTGTTATACCGCAGCTTCCCTGTCCGAACACCATCCACGGACCACACCCCTGAAATCCCTCAGGAAATAGACAGCACCCGACTCTTCTTAAAACAGGAAGTCAAATCCTTTATTTTTACACAAAACAAAAGTTATATACACAGGGCGGGAAAACACAATCAGGAACAGGAAACACATCATCAGCCCGGCTCATCAGTGGGAAGGGCTACAGGAAATACATCATCAGCCTGCCCCATCAGTGGGAAGGGCTACAGCACATGGCAAAGGACAATGGACAGCCACGTGGCCGAGAACAAAGGACAACACACCAATACACAATACTAGGACATTCACATTCACACCGTGTACCCCTTAACAGGCACAGGGTTGTTAAACATAAGAATTTGGGAAGATGATACAGAGGTCCCCCCACCCCCAAACGTTACTCCCGTCACAGCATACACTACATTTCTACATGATACCATATTGCCCATACCCATACCTCTCCAACAATCTCATCCATACACTATTATAAGACGACGTAATGGTATGATGGCGTACCTATCAGATGCTAATAATAAATTCAGTAAACTCCAACCCCTAAATACCCCCCCTCCCCTTTTTTTCTTATGACGTCTCCAAGGCAAGAAACACAGGGAAATGTCCCCATGGGCACCCAGCAACAATAAAACCTACCATTCTCCAGCCTACTTTGAACATTATTTATACTGTATACAGTGAAGGAAATGTGTATTTGCTCCCCGGCTGATGCTTAATGTTCGCCCCTCACACAGAAACGATCGGTCTTACAATGGAATGTTCGCCCCTCAAACAGAAATGATCGGTCTAACAATGGAATGTTCGCCCCTCACACAGAAATGATCGGTCTAACAATGGAATGTTCGCCCCTCACACAGAAATGATCGGTCTAACAATGGAATGTTCGGTGTAACACTGAGAGACAGAATACAACAACAAATTCAGCAGAAATGCATCTAACAAATGATGACTGATCTGCATGTTCATGAGGGAAAGAAGGATTTGATCCCCTATCATTCAGCAGGATTTCTGGCTCCCAGGTGTCTCTCATACAGGTAACAAGCTGAGATTAGAAGCAGTCTCTTAAAGGGAGTGCTGCTAATCTCATTGTGTTACCTGTATAAAAGACACCTGTCCACAGGAGCCATCAAACCATCAGATTCCAAACTCTCCACCATGGCAAAGACCAAAGAGCTGTCCAAGGATGTCAGGGACAAGATGGTAGACCTACACAAGGCTGGACTGGGCTACCAAACTATGGCCAAGCAGCTTGGTGAGAAGGTGACAACAGTTGGTGCAATCATTCACAAATGGAAGAAACACAAAACAAGTGTCAGTCTCCCTAGGTCTGCTGCACCATGCAAGATCTCACCTCGTGGAGTGTCAATGATCAAGAGAACAGTGAGGAATCATCCCAGAACTACACGTGAGGATCTTGTCAATGATCTCCAGGCAGCTGGGACCACAGTCACCAAGAAAACAATTGGTAACACACTACGCCGACAAGGACTGAAATCCTGCAGTGCCCGCAAGGTCCCTCTGCTCAAGAAAGCCCATGTCCAGCCTGTCTGAAGTCTGCCACTGAACATCTGAATGATGCAGAGGAGGACTGGTGGGAAGTGTTGTGGTCAGAGGAGATCAAAATCCAGCTCTTTGGCATCAACTCAACTCGCCATGTTTGGAGGAGGAGGAATGCTGCCTATGACCCCAAGAACACCATCCCAACTGTGAAACATGTTGGTGGAAACATTCTGCTTTGGGGGTGTTTTTTCTTCTAAGGGGACAGGACAACTGCACCGCATCAAAGGGACGATGGACAGGGCAATGTACCATCAAATCTTGGGTGAGAACCTTCTTCCCTCAGCCAGGGCATTGAAAATGGGTGGTGGATGGGTGTTCCAGCATGACAATGACCCAAAACACACGGCCAAGGCAACAAAGGAGCGGCTCAAAAGAAGCACATTAAGGTCCTGGAGTGGCCTAGCCAGTCTCCAGACCTTCATCCGATTGAAAATCTGTGGAGGAGCTGAAAGTTCAAGTTGCCAAACGTCAGCCACCAAACCTTAATGACTTGGAGAAGATCTGCCAAGAGGAGTGGGCCAAAATCCCTCCTGAGATGTGTGCGAACCTGGGGGCCAACTCCAGGAAACATCTGACCTCTGTGATTGCCAACAAGGGATTTGCCACCAAGTACTAAGTCATGTTTTGTGAAGGGGATCAAATCCTTCTTTCCCTCATGAACATGCAGATCCGTCATCATTTGTTAGACGCATTTCTGCTGAATTTGTTGTTGTATTCTGTCTCTCAGTGTTACACCGAACATTCCATTGTTAGACCGATCGTTTCTGTGTGAGGGGCGAACATTCCATTGTTAGACCGATCATTTCTGTGTGAGGGGCGAACATTCCATTGTTAGACCGATCATTTCTGTGTGAGGGGCGAACATTCCATTGTTAGACCGATCATTTCTGTGTGAGGGGCAAACATTCAGCATCAGCCGGGGAGCAAATACGCATTTCCTTCACTGTACATATATATGGATCGTCAATTTGCACCCCAAGTTGTATCAGTTTTTTTCCTCTTCATACATCCTATTACGAGGGGCATAATGCGATTGGTGGATTATATTTTCCTTAAAACGTCATATTATGGAAATTATGTGAACATGCAGATGGTGAATACAATACACTGCTCTGACCATGATGGGAAAGGGGGGTTGAGGAACTGTTCCAGGATGAATGTACCTACTTGAATACCTACCTAAGAGACACAAGCCACTCCTCTCATCCCATGCTGCGGGTCACAATAGTTAGGTCAGGACTGGAACTCTAAAATAGCCATTGAGCGGATATCAATCCACCTGGTGGTACTCAGTGCTGGTGCCTATAAGGGGAACATCGATGTGTAGGCACTACTTTCTCCCCTGCAGGTATTGCATTGCAGTTGGAGAGGAAGTCAAGAGGAACATGGTTCCTCTATGGATTCCTGGGTCACTGGGGAAACTATCCAATTGGATGACTTTAGCAGCCATCTTGGATCAGGCATAGCCTATTTAAGTCCCTGGCTCCCAGGCTTGGCGTGCATTTTGCAGTGGGGAGAGTAAGGATAGGTACCCCACCTGGTATGTACAGAGCTAGTGGCAGAGAAAGGTTCCTGATGAGGAGGGAAAGCATAGAGCTTGCCTGGGTATGAGATGGCCAGGCCACAGTCTGCCCATCCTAATTGTCAGGTTGTCTACATGTTGGTGGACCTGTGAGTGTTCCCGGTTGGGTTGTCTTCCCACTCAGCTTATGGTGAACTGTCTGTTCATTATTCCAATACATGTTCTTTCCTCACACTACAACTGTGTGCGTCATTGCCCCCACACCACACCTACAGGTGCCACCACTGAGCAGATCTGAATCAGCTGCAATGGTGGCCAGCAGCACAGCTTCTGGGGGTCTCTTGCGAACATTGGATGATGGCACCTAGGGGTTGACTTACTACAACTGGAGAGTACACAATCTGGTGCAGCTCTGCATAGGAACCAATCAGCTTCTAACTTCAGTTTGTTTCAATCAGGCTTTGACAATAAAACCTGGAAGCTGATTGGTTTCTATGCAGAGCCGCACCAGATTTTGCACTCTCTGGTTTTAGTAAATCAACCCCTATATGTCATTGATTTCCATCATTAAAGTGTATGTATAGACAATGTTCGTAGATTTGGATGGAGTAAGTGAGGGTTAGAACCCCCACCGAGTTATTTTCTTCTGACTTCCTGTCTTACTTTTCTGAAACACAACAGGTAGTTAGAGCAAAGTTAGTGGTGGGATTCCCTCTCTTAGCCAGTTGTCCCCGTTACAAGTGCCCCCCTGTGAGATGTCCCCTCTCTTCTTGTTCTGGGGACAACTCTAACATTTTGGGTTCCCCGTCGCTTTCTTTCTTGTTGACAATCGTCACCAATACAAACAAAGGGGGTGAATCTTCCATATGGGAACACAGATAGGGATAAAAATCTAACAGACGGCTTTACCCTCCCCCCCTCTATCCAAAATCAAAACAAAAAGGTTTTTCCTAGAGATACACTGTCATATCTGCACTGGTGGTGTCCGGGTCTTCTAGTTGCTCCTCTGGCCTTTCTCTTTGTTTCTGTGTTGTGATTCCCCCATTACATCAGACTTTATTGGGTCATAATACCTGATATCACAGCTCGGGCGGTCCTCTTCAGTCTCCCCTCTTTCACCACACAGAAGTAATGTTTATTTGTTTCCACATCCATGTTCAGCACGGACTCCACCTTCTTCCGGCCATTACTGATGTCAGTTACATTACGTGTTCCATGTTGGGACAGATCCGTCTTCTGCTCATCGTACCACTTGACCCACGGATTCCTGAACACGCCAATATCCATACATTTCAGACGCTTCTTCCCATCAATGTGAATGACGGTAACTGTTGAATCAGCTGCATTTAAATCTAAAAATAAAAAAAAACTTAACGTTACATTCGAACTTCAGATTTACATTTTGTTTAATCGATACGTTGATCAGTCATTTCAAGAATGAAACGTGGTTGCTGCAGTACCCAACATGTCTCCAGCACTGACCCCTTCAGAAAGTCCTCTCCAGTCCGGTCCTCCTTTGTGTCATTGAAAATAAAGCCCGAGGGGGGGGGGGGGGTACTCCAGGGGGAAAAGGGGGAAATTTGTTCTTACAATGGAGAAGGCAATCACATTAAAATAGTTGGCATTTATTAATTGCATATAATCAATACTTAGTAGAACCAGCTTTGGTTGCAGTTTAAACTCTTTGGGGTCATTTGTCTTTGGGGTACCAGCTTTGCACATTTAGGATCTGATCCTTTTTTTTTTTTAACAGTTCTCCATATCCAAATAGCTAAAACTCTGTTGGGTTGGATGGAGGCCATTGATGAACTGCAACCTTCAGGTCTTAGTTTCTCAGATGGACTTAGGTCTTTGACTGGTTTCAATCCTAATATACTATGAGCTGTTTCCCCGAGTAAACTGAGGGGCCTTGGAAATGGTAGGAGCGAGCTTGTAGCACAAGGATTGAGCAAGTTGAGTCTGTTTGGACCCTATGAGAACCGTAGGTTGCATATTCTGGATGAGAATCCAACTGCATGGGGTTCCAGCATGATGGTGGTTGTGAAGTGGATTTGTACAAGCACATGTAGCACTATTTTGTGAGCACTGTATTTATAATTCATGTAATGTAACACTCTCCTAGTTATGCTATGTGGAGCAAGATTCACAATGGGTAGACAGGAGCTGATCAGCAGCCCAGGTGTAATAGTCAGAGGGGTCAAATTGTAGTCAGGGCTGAGAGGCTCTGCAGGCCAGCCCCTCTGGAATTTCCCCCTGCTCTGGGGCTTTTGCAAGGAAGGCCTTGGAGACAGTGGTTGGATCTGAGGAGTGGCCGGCTGCACTCTTAAGGAACCTCAGCCCATCCCCAACTGAAGGCTTGGCAAGGGGCTGGTCACCCCCTGAAAGTGTGAGAGCTTGCTTAGTGGCAGGAGTGTGAGAATATCGGGTGGAAGTGTCAGGAAGTGAGGAAGATGTAGACTGTAAGGAAGGAGTCTCCCCAGGAGGCCTGATGGGATGGGGCCTGTCTGTGAGACTGGAGCTGGAGAGGAGGAAAACTTGGCCCCTGAGACAGGACCACCTGTATGGCAGGAAATAAGAAGCCCAGCTGATAGACTTGGTAGCAGCAACCTACCCACCAGAGGTACAGGAATACACCTGCACCCCATGGGTGGATTGGGGAAGGAGCACTCTGGTGGGAAACCAGATTAGCCCTCTACTAGTGACTGTGCATTTTTAAAATGACAGGAGCCAGATCCCCTGCTCAGGAATAGCCCCCAGATTGCTGAAAGAAAAGAAGTTCATCTAGGGTTTGGGGTGGTACACTAAGGAGACTCTGGCTAGCTCTCCAACAGAGACTGTGCTGAGAAGGAAAAACTTGTAGATAGTTCAGGAGGATTGTCCTCAGTTTTCGGTATCCTTGGGCATCTTATACTTCCCCTTTACCCTATCCAAGTTCTAATCCACCTAAATAAAACATAAAAACAAAGCTCAAGGACTGATTTCTGACTCCGCATTCAAGCTTGTGTGGGAAAAACTGTTCCCCTGGCTGTGCTGGACTATAGGGGACACAATTAATCGGTAACCCCTAAGGGGGTAGTGCTACAGCAGCATAATGTTTTGTATTACACTTGTTAATATGATATGCTACACTATGGATGCAATATGATACAAGGACAGTGGAATATATGGGGATTCTCAAGAAGAAAGAGGGGAGACATCTGGAAGAGAGGAAGATATTTGTATCATGCCTGATTTCACCCATTCATACAAAAGGGTCATAATAATCTAATAAATGAATCTGCGAATCTATTGTTCCACAGACATGAAAGGAAGACCATTACCTTGTAGTCCCACTGAATGAATGTCTGTTTCTATCTGTGTGCTGCATGGGGCTGAGAGCTGTGGTCACGTTGGGCCTTGCCTGATCATAAATGCAATCTGCTGTGTATCTGGCCTTCTCCCAACCTGGTAAGCTGATCCTTCATATGAGTTCTTCCCACTCCCACAACCATGACTGTGTAACAGCATGTATTCCTGGCTCTGGGATTTACGAGTTCCCCAGAAAGTGTTTTGAGTTACCCCAAAAGTGTTCTGAATTACTCTGAAAGTATTCTGAGTTCCAAGTTACTCTGAGAGTGTTCTGAGTTATTCTGAGAGTATTCCAAGTTACCCCAAAGAGAATTCAGAGTTCCAAGTTACTTTGAGAGTGTTTCAAATTACCCCAAATGTGCTCCGAGTTACCTCAAGAGAATTCCAAGTTTCAGGTTACTCTGAGAGTGTTTACTGTGTTAGTTACCTCAAGAGAATTCCGAGTTTCAAATGACTCTGAGAGTGTTTATCCAAGCTATCCCAAAAGTGTTCTGAGTTAGCCCAAGAGAATTCAGAGTTCCAAGTTACTCTGAAAGTGTCCTTAGTTATCCTAAGAGTGTTCCACTTTATTGTAAGAGTATTTACTAAGCTAGTTATCCTAAGAGTGAGTTTATGTAGTATTCTACCCCTAAGAGAATTCCGAGTTCCAAGTTACTCTGAAAGTGTTCCAAGTTACATCAAAAGTGTTCTGAGTTACCCCAAGAGAATCCAAAGTTCCAGGTTACTCTAAGAGTGTTCCAAGTTACCCTGAGTGTGTTCTGAGTTACTCCAGGAGAATTCCAAGCTCCAGGTTACTCTGAGAGTGTTCAGAGTTACCCCAAGAGAATTATGACTTACAAGTTACTCTGGAAGTGTTTCAAGTTACCCCGAATGTGTTCTGAGTTACTCTAAGAGAATGCAAAGTTCCAAGTTGTTATCAGAGTGTTGCATGTTTCCCTGAGAGTGTTCCAAGAGAAATCTGAGTTTCAAGTTACTCTAAAAGAGTGTTCCAAGTTACCCCAAGAGTGTTCTGAGTTATCCTGAGAGTATTCTCAGTTACCCCCAGAGTGCTCCAAGTTCCTCCAAGAGTCACCTAAGAGTGCCCCCAGTTCCTTGTGACCCCAAGTTCCAAGTTATACTAGTTTCCATGTGACTCCAGAGTGACCCTTGTGTACTCCACTTGTCTCCAGCATTCCAGTCTTCTTGCATCTTCTGTGACATCTGTATCTTCCAAGTGCCACTTTGTATGTCTTCAGTGACCTCCAGAGTTCTGTGACCCCCCAGCACCTCTGTGTGCTCCGGTAGTACTGAGTGTCTCCCCGGTTTAAGCAAACCCTTACATTTTGTGCACATGTCCAATTTCCTTCCATCCGTGAGGCCTGTACACCCCCAGAGAGCTTCCTGCAGTCCAGCATGGTGTGTTTTGTATACTCTCTATGAGCTTCTAGCATTCCTGCACTGATGTGCCTTTGAACTTCTAGTGAGTTCTCTGTGTTCCGAGCATCTCACTGCTGCATGAGACGCTGAGTCCTGCCTTCCTGTGATCCAACATCCCTGAGACCCTTGCACTCCTGCCTTTCCATGTGTTTAGCACCCCAGTAATTTATGTACTGATATTCCTTAGTGCACTCCTGTGTGTTACCTCAGAACCTCCAAGAACCCCAATTCTTTTGTGATATCCATGCATTCCTGTATCGGGTCAGCTGTAACATACATGGGTGCAATTGAGGGCTGCAACCTGGGAGCTGTCCAGCAGGTAGTCTGGTGAATACCCGGAGCTCAGTAGACTCTGCGCCTTAAACACACATCTATCATACATGCAGGCTGCATGGTGGGCCCACAATTCCCAGCCATATATGACAGTATAGAGATGGTGAACCGGGAGAACAGAAAAGCTGTGTATGTAAGGCCATAGACTGGAACAGAACTTACTGCCTATGGTCAATTCCACCTTCTGGTCCCCATGGCGTCTCTTATTGGCTGCTCTGCAGTAATACGTTCCTTCATCACTGAAGGTGACCTCTCGCAGTGTCAGGTCCAACGTTCCCTTAGAGACATCTTCAGACAATGCTGTGCGTCCTGTGTAGCGTAGATCTTGATCCTTGACATTATCCCGGCCATCTTTGTACTTGTGTGCGATAAAACCTCTTTTATCCGGACCAGTCTTCTCCCAGACCACTACCAGACCTTCCAGCCCACGTATGAAGGGAAATGAGCAGCGGAGGATGACCGTGCCATAGAGCGAAGCAACCACTTCAGTCTGATCTGTGGAGGGGAGCAGAAATATTCGCTAAAAACGAATCCTTCGTACAATCAGCCTCATTCTGAATATATTTCACATGATCTCTGTTTGATACATTGTGTAATGATTAGTATTTGTTCATTTATAACAATGATAAACATGTACATATACGATCATTTTCAATTTCCTATCAAACCTTAGTAGCTCAACCAACAAACCGCACAGAAAGCAACCAGGCAACAGAGAGGGATTCACATTCTGCCTGGCCAATCCTTGAAATCAGTGGGGGTTCAGGATACTGTTCTGTGGCCAGGAAGGATATTGTCTGGTGGCCAGAAATGATATTGTCCTGTGTCCACAAAGGATATTTTCTGGCAGCCAAGAAATATATTGTCTGGTGGCCTGGAAGGATATTGTCTGGTGCCCAGGAAGGAAATTTTCTGGCAGCCAGGAAGGATATTGCTCAGTGGCCAGGAAGGATACTATCCTGTGGACAGAGAGAACATATTCAGTGGCCAGGAAAGATATTATCTGGTGACCAAAATGGATATTGCCTGTTGGCCAGGAAGGATATTGTCTTGCGGCCAGGAAGGATATTGCCTGGTGGAAAGGAGGGATATTGCATGGTCTGGAAAGGGTGTATGGTGGCCAGGAAGGAAGTTATCAGTTGGCCAGGAAGGATATTATCTCGTGGCCAGGAAGGCTATTGCAGAGTGTCCAGGAAGGATATTGCCTGGTGGCCAGGAAGGATATTGCCTGGTGGCCAGGAAGGATATTGCCTGGTGGCCAGGCGGGATATTGCCTGGTGGCCAGGAGGGATATTGCCTGGTGGCCAGGAGGGATATTGCCTGGTGGCCAGGAGGGATATTGCCTGGTGGCCAGGAAGGATATTGCCTGGTGGCCAGGAGGGATATTGCCTGGTGGCCAAGAGGGATATTGCCTGGCCTAGAAAGGGTGTATGGTGGCCAGGAAGGAAGTTATCAGTTGGCCAGGAAGACACTGTATGGTGGCCAGGAAGGATATTGCCCTGTGGCAGAGGTGGCATTGCAATGATGTCACTCCGTGCTCCATAATGTAGGGTAGTGCCTGTCTCCACTGTAGTTTGCAGCTGCAGAAGTGCGAACTATAAAAGAAATTTGACAAATGATATGAATCACAAGTTTATTACTATTATTGAGCGAACTTAAGAATGGAAGTAACTCTCTCTCTGGTCCCGCCCAGATGAAAAACAATCATCAATAAATCTTTTGTAAAGCAATAATTTGTTTTTATTATATTTAAAGACAAATTTATCCTCCCACTCAGCCATAAAGAGGTTGGCAATACTGGGCGCAAATCTCACACCCATTGCAACTCCCCCCTTCTGGGAGAAAACTTCATTTTGGTACCAAAAATAATTATGAGAAAGACAAAAATCAAGAGATTCAAGACATCCCTCTTACTCAATGCCCAATGTAAAGCTAATAAAGCCTCATTGTGCTGAGTAATGGTGTACAGGGATGAGACATCCTGTCAGGAACCATCACGACGCATGGGTCTACACATGCGTAGGTGTCTGCCGAGACGTATAGGTGGCAGGGCACTAGGACCCAGGCGCACCCGTCGTCTGGACAGTACTAGGCAGGCACTGGGACCCAGGCTACACCTGTCAGGTGCAGGGCGGGCTACTTAAGCCAGCCCTGCACAGACACTTGTTGCCGAATGGTCTTTGTATCCTGTTACCTGTGTGTGAGTACTTCTGATCTGGATTGTTTGACCTTGTTGCCTTCTCCCGTCCTGACCCCTTGGCTTGAATGACTCTGCTCCTGGATGTTCCCGTTTAGATCTGACCTCCCTGGTATTGACCCTGCGTGTGACCCGACTATCCTTTGCCTACCGTTTTGTACCTTACCGATCCGCTAGTTGCCGACCCGGCCTGCATGACTCTGATTTAGCTCATCCATCCACCCACCCCGCAGGGATCAGTAGGCTCCCTTACATCAGACTCCTAGCTCTCTGGAGCCCCTGTCAGACTCCTCTACCCCTGTTGGAGATACCTGGTAGTTGCGACCTGGTACCGGAGCGCTCCAAGTCCATCCCCACCATCAGGGGCCCTGGTGAACAAGTGCTCCGGTGCTTAGACTCCGCACTCTGGGGAGGCTCTACCAGGGGACTGATAGAGGTGCTGTCAGGCGGCCCGTTACACATCCGCTGTGACCACAAAAAATTCTGCTATACCATCCAATTGGACATCTTCCAAAAGTTGTAATACATTTTTTGTATCCTTCTAATAAGCTTTAGTTTGCAGAAAGACATCTAAATATTGACCTAATCTTGCTGATCCTGACCCGATACCGGGGACAATTGGTCTAGCCGCAAGGGTTCAAATGATCTTTATGTATCTTGGGAAATGTATATATAGTTGGTGTCCTACAACTAATTAGAATGAAATATTTACTTTCTTTTTTTGTAAGCACTTGAGTTCGATTTCTACTAATCCCCTAAGCTCTTCTTTATATTGCCTAGTGGGATCGTTAGCCAACTTTACATATGTTTTCTGATTGGATAACATCCCAGATAACTAACCATAGTAAACGGATATATCCAAAACAACTACCCCCCCCCCCCTTATCCGCAGTCCGGATTACTATGTCTTTTCTCTCCTCCAAAGACTGAATACCTTCCTGTATACACCTAGGGGTCACCCCTTTCTTTGGAACTACTGTTGATAAATCTCTCAATACTGGGTGTTTAAACACCTCCACATGCTGATTGGAAGAAATATCTGGATTCAATAGGGATTTGTTTTTTAAACCACTGTTTAGGCTAGTGCCAGCTGGCGGATGACTAGGTTGCGATCTAATTCCATCCCCCACAAAATATTTTTTTCATATTCAATTTCCATATAAATGTATGTGTATCTACTGTATATATACATCAAATTTATTGATTGGCATTTTTAATGCGCATTTAAAACCGGTATTCAATATATTAAGTTCCCTGTGTGTGAGATCTACACCATAAATACCATATAATCTGTTCCCTTCTTCTTTTTTATGATATTGGACCCTTCTCCCCACCCTACATCCTCCTCCTCCCTTCTTTGGGGTTCTTCCCTTATGTAGCCTTGTCTCCCTCCATATGGGGGTGCTTGCCGATTTTGTATTCTGGGGGGGGGGGGGGTCGATGGTATAATGGTGGCCATTATACCCCCATATGACATATAATTGCGATGTCCTCAACCCCTTCCTCTTCCTTTCCTCCAACTGCCTAAAAAAAAGGCCTCGGCGAGTTATGGTATTGGGGAGGATCCCTATAAATATAAAGGTTCAAACCTGTTGTATGTAGGAACATATCATTTTTATATATTTTATTTATTTATTTGACCTTTCATTATTATGTGTTTATTATTGTTATTATTGCAAGAAAATTATTATGGCTATTAGAGATGAGCGAATTATTCAAAAATTCGGTTCGGCTGATTCGCCGAATTCGCCGAATAAATTCGCTTCGAGCCGAATATATTCGCTGCGAATTTAACTTATAAAAGGGTGTTTCTAGGCTTCAGAGAGACTTTATATTAGTGCTGAACACTGTACCTTTAATTTAAATGCCCTTGGAGTCTGCTGGGGAAGAGAAATAATACTGTCAGTCAGTATGACATGCAGATGAGTGCCGTCGATCTTAGAATCACCGCACACTTCACTCATTTGGGCAGTCACGGGGCCAAAACCAGAGTGTGGAGCCACAGTGTGGGCGGTGGAGGCAGCAGCAATGGGAGGCCATACAGCAACCTATGACAAAATGGAACCCACCAGCAGTGTGAGGAGACCTGAAAGTGGCACATGGCAGAGTGTGGCGATGGAGACAGCAGCAATGGGAGGCCGTACAGGGACCCATGACACACTCTGGACCTGGCAGCAGCATGAGGAGGCGGTACAGGGGCCCATGACAGATTACGGGCCTGGCAGCAGCATGAGGAGGCGGTACAGGGGCCCATGACAGATTACGGGCCTGGCAGCAGCATGAGGAGTCGGTACGGGGGCCCATGGCAGATTACGGGCCTGGCAGCAGCATGAGGAGGCGGTACAGGGGCCCATGGCAGAGTGGCGGAGCGTAAGCAGCTAAAATTGAAGGCCATACAGAGGCCTATGTTAAAAAGTCCCCCCAGCAGCAGCGTGGGGAGACGACTATCAAGAGTCCAATGGCAGAGTGGCGGAGCAGAAGCAGCTTCAATTGAAGGCCATACACAGGCCTAGGTTTAAAAGTCCCTCACAGTTAATTCCAATAACGAACTCTACTCCTCCGTGCAATCTACTTACGAGAGAGACCCTGGGCAGGTCTGGGTCCAATTTGTGGTAGAGACTGGTTTTGTTCAGCCATGCTTGAGCGAGTAATAACAGGTCTGTGCTGCCCTTTGGTGTCTGGCTTACAATGCGCACAACACTGAACGTCCCAGCGTTTGTCAACGATTTGCCGTTAAGTGATGCAAACCCGCTGAACCACGTTCATGAGGAGCCGGTACAGGGGGCCATGAATCAGTATGGACCTGGCAGCAGCGTGAGCAGACGACAGAGGCACATGGCGCAGGGTGGCGGTGGAGGCAGCATTATTCTGAAGCCATACACAGGCCTAGGTTAAAAAGCGGAAGCCGTCAGCAGCGTGAGCAGATGACACAGAGGCACATGGCGCAGGGTGGCGGTGGAGGCAGCAGCAATGGAAGGCCATACAGCACCCTATCACAAAATGGAACCCACCAACAGTGTAAGGAGACCTGAAAGTGGCACATGGCAGAGTCTGGCGATGAAAGTCAGCAGCAATGGGAGGCCGTTACAGGGACCCATGGCAGAGTGGCGAAGCATAAGCAGGTTAAATTGAAGGCCATACAGAGGCCTATGTTAAAAAGACCCCCAGCAGCAGCGTGGGGGAGACGACTATCAAGAGTCCATTGGCAGAGTGGCGGAGCAGAAGCAGCTTCAATTGAAGGCCATACACAGGCCTAGGTTAAAAAGTCCCCCCAGCAGCAGTGTGGG